TCACTTTTTCATATCGGAAGGGCCGGTCAAACAACAGTATACTTGGCGCCGCTTCTGTTGCTTGCCTGTCTCCACTTTCTACGGCGATCGGCGCAACGGCAGGAAGCTGGCTCTCGATAACGGCAGACATGGCGTTTACGTCCTCGTTGTTGCCCGAAATCGGGAACTGTGCGGCCCACAAAAAGTCAATGGCCTGGTCCGAGAGGTGGTTGCAGGCGGTTCCCAGAGCATTGGTAAACTGCTCTTTGCTGATGAAGTAGTTTCGATCGGGGTCCACGTCACAGAATGCTTTCCCGAGGTAAGGACCCCGCTCCACCAAGATATCCAGAATGTTCTGCGTGATTGCCTGCGTGTGCCTTTCCACCGCGTCCTCTGCCCCCCGTCCCACTTCGATCAGTGGCGAGTAAATCTGGTATATCGCATATCAGCGCGAAATAAAGAATGCCACTCGTCGTGAAGTAAACAATAGCGCTTCTTTAATTAACAAGACCAACTGCAGGTGGATATCGATGTAGACGTAGGTACACGTAGCGATTTAGACCACAACTGTGCCAGAACAAACATGAAGAGACTTGATATGTACAAGTTCACAGCTGTCGAGCAAAATGAATACCAATACTTCAAAAGAACTACTAGACGCTATAAGCTTACCAGATCTGCAAACTCTTCAAATGTATTGTGAGGAAAAATCCCCCTTCCCCATATCGAAAGCGGAATGTGTGTTGCTGTATTTGAGTACACAAATCAAATCTGTCTTGCTAGAGAGGACTGCAGACCCATATCAAGCCTGAGCAGAGATGCTTTGAGTTAGGCGCTTAGCATGAGAAGCGTCCTTGATGTTGGCTCAACAGCATGACAAACCGCTTCCATAATGGGGCGGAAGCTTCTGCCGTTCTCTTCTTGCAACACAGATGTGATTTGTGACCTCAAATCAGCTACGCAAATTTTCGAAAACATACCTTTTCAATATGGGGAGGGGGGATTTTACCTTACGATAAAATGTGATGGCTCCTTTCTCCGTGCGATCCACGGCTTGGATGAGCA